ACTGCACCTGCAACCAACTATGGAAAGTGTAGTTTCCACAGACCCTAACATCCATTGCTCATATATCCTTATGTCTAGGATGCTAATCCAGGTGAGCTGTAAGTCTAAAGGACTTGCTAAGTTTGCTAAGTTTCAAGGTTCAGCTGCTGCTGGGTTAGTATGAGAAAAGGAGGAATCTATTAACCTGCAGTCATGGGGTTAATTGCATCTCCAGAGCACAACACACTACCAATGGCATCATGGGTGGGACTGGGGACTGCTCAAATCCAGACCATTTATTTTCCAGCTTTTTTGAAAATAAATAGTTCTACCTAAGCCCATTCTGAATTAAGTATGAATTAGGAGCATTCTTATGGTGCCCAAGTGTCCTATTTTACAAAGGACTGTCTGTTTCTGGACAACTGACAGTGCACTGCCCCTTATTTTAAGAATTGCCAGCCTGAGACGGAGTTTAAGCTGAAGCAGCATAAGGAGGCAAAGGAGCAGCAGCTTTGAAGTTGTCCATCAACAGCACTCAGACAGCAAACTGAGCAGAAACACAGGTTACCTAGTCATTCTTCTCCACTATAGTGACATATATTGAATTTCTGATCAAATTACAGTTGTTATTTCTAAATGTGCTAAATGCATATTCATTCATAACTAGTTTTGAAGCCATAAGTAAAACTGTAGCTGCTGAGGTTTGCACATAAAACAGGATACTTTAATACTGCCTTTCCCATCCTGGTAGCCTTCAGAGGCATTTGGACTGCATTTCCCAGAATATCCATCAAGCAGGGCCATTGACTGGGAATTCTGGGTTCTGCAGTCCAAACATGTCTGGAAGGAACAAGGTTGGGAAAGGCTGCTCTAATACTTTATAGAATTAGGAGAAAAAATCATATGTATTCCTTGGGGATCAAAGTGGTCTTGTGGTCATTCTGATCATTTTATCTTTTTCTAAATAGATACGTCCATACAGGCTTATTCCATCTCATATATACAACCCAATACTACACTGAAACAGGGTGCTTCAGCCAACATTCCTATGGCTGTCTGTTACAGTCTGTGCAGAATTTACATTTCCATAATATGTTGCTGTTGGGGTGGCCCTAATAAAGGATATCAATAATGACCATTCTATCCCTAACCAGTTTAAGATCATTTTATCCCTTTAGCTGCTTCCACTGTTAGGTTAACCAAGCAATCTGTATTCACAATTCAAACCTTGCCAGCAGGAAGCTCTGGACCAGCTTCAGTGGCTGATGCACCAAATAAGCGGAAGGTTATCTGCCTGCAAGGAGTCCTGGGGTTCACAGCAGCCATTTAGCACAAGGTACAGTGGAGCTGGGATGGTGGGCTCTTGTCCAGTGGTCCAGGCCAAGCTTTGCACGCTGCAGGGCCTGGGTTCAATCTCTGGTGTTTCCAAGTAGGACTGCCATGGGAGAGGTAGAAAATACTGGGACAGGTAGACCACTGGTCTGACTCTGTGTAAGGAGCTTCCTACATTTCTAAAAGCCTGAACCTGAATTGAGGGTTTCTACAGCTGTGCTACCCAGGGGGCAAACATGGTAAAATCCAGGCAATCCTTGTAGCTCCCTCCACTCATTTCAGTACATCTCTGAAGGGAACACATCTTCACCTAATCAAGAGTCATTTAAGTATATTTCTATGAAGATTGCTAGGAAACATACGATGCATTAATTTTAAATTGTGATTCATTAATGCACCTGTTAGCAGTGCACTTTTGATGGGAACACCCGGCCTGAATCATCTTTGTTTCCTTAGAAGAACTGAGGTGAAAAAGGGGAGCACAGAGGAAGGCTTTGTTTCTGAAGCAAGGGCTTAAGCACCACTCACAGTATGCATGAAGCACTTAGCTCTGGGTTCCCCTCGTGAGCCTAGGAGAAAATGACAGGTGTTGCACAGCAGATCCAGAGTCAGAAGCAGCTACATTAAAGTGTTTATTAGTATTGTGATTAGTGAGCATTGTGTGAGATTTAGTTAGAAGTTTAGCTTAAAACCTGCAGTGTGGCACTCAAGAAGTCTCAGGCCACAGCATGCGTAGAGGCTTCACAGACTGTAATTGGTTAGTGGGTGAGAGTAAATAGGAAATGCAGCCAGGGCTGTGGGGGTTCTGTTGAAGAAGGAACAAGAGGGCAAATCTTGCATAGTCTGAAAGAAAAAGCAGAGTGATCCGCATTCCTCTGTGCTCTTATGTTGGCAATGATCAAGGGATAAAAGTGGCTGGAGCATGACTGGGGTAACTCTTAAAGGGCTCTTTGCTCTTTATCATATTCAGGGGACCCAAAGTACCCCGGGAAAATGTATTGTTTTTGTGACTTATTCCTGACATTGCTACCATTCAATGGCTTGTCACTCCTCAACAAATGAGGCATCAGGAATGCAGAGCAGCTATTACATTTTTGAATAAATTACATTAAAAACATTTAGAAAATTGGCTAAAAGCTTCTTACTAGAGAAGATTTACATTGATCCTCTGAATTGCCAGCATTACCTGACATAATGCGGTCAGCAGGCTGGCATTTTCTGCTGTACAGAATTCTTATTACTACTTTCCTCTAAAAATGCAAGAGATCTTTAACTTGGCTTAGCGATAGGCCTGTTTCACCTACCGAAGTCTTTTTTCCCCTTTCTGTATTCACAGTGTTACATTGTAGTAATAAAAATCAATAGCCTTTCATGTTACCATTTTTATTTTTATTTTATTTTTGGCCTGGGTTGGACTGATGCTATAATTGCCTCCAAAGTAGACTAGCCAAGTATTTCCGGGGCATTGTAAATATTTATTATTATTATTTTCAATCACCATCAGCACGCATAGCACTTCGCAGAGCAAAATAGAAGTCCCTGCTCTAAGGAACTTGCAGTCTAAACTTCAACTGAAGGGCAACAATAGCAAAATGAAAAGGAAGGGAAGTAGAGGCAAGGAGAAACATGGAAAGAATGAGTGATTACAGTGGTACCTCGGTTCACGAACTTAATTCATTCCACGATTCTGGTTGTGAACCGAATTAGTTGTGAACCGAGTCAAATTTCCCCATAAGGTTCAATGTAAATAAGTTCTGAAGCATAACTTTATGTATACATAAAGGAAAGCATATAAAAGTTTTAAATAAATAAATATTTATTAAACCACAAAAATATGAGCTGCGGGCTGTGGACCAAGCTGAAGCTGCCTCGCCGAGTCCGGGGCTGGACTGGCTGAGGCGGAGTGGGAGTGGGGCTGCGGCTTCTGTGTCTCCGCCATGACCTTCTCAGGGCAAGCTGCTGAGCGGCCGCCATGCTTTTTCCCCTCACGGCGGGGAGAGGCAGGAGGTACCCTGCTTGGCCAGCCATGGCCCAGTCCTTCACCTCCCCTAGGGCAGCAGAAAGCAGCCATTACCTTCCTCCTTGTGGCCCTCTCCAGGCCGGGGGAGCTGCCCCACGCCCATCTCTCTGGCCTCCCGCTCCTGCTCTTCTTCCTGGAGCTGGGCGAATGCCTGTGAGGGGACCTTCTTCTGGCTCAGGAACGGGGCAGTGGGGAGGAGCTGGAAGGCCTCGACCGAGGTGAGCACACCCTCGACCGAGGTGGGCGCATTTAACATGATTTTCAAAAATTACCATTTTTGTTCATACTTTGCTTCTAATGTATACATTTGAATACATTCTGATTAAAAATTTTCATTGCAAAATTCAAAGAAATGTGAATTTCAAAGGAAATCTGGGTTTCATTTTCCCTATTGGCTTGGAAGCATGACATTAGGTAAGTCTGTATTCAAATGTGAAAAAACAAACAAAAATTGCCTTCCCTCCACCCCTAGGAACAAGGCCATGGAGGCCTTTGAAGATAATGTTGAAGAGCTTGTACTAGATCTAAGTGCAGATGGTGGGCCAGGGTAGGGATTAAGGACAGATGCCACATGTTCAGAAGAAGGAGATATGTGAATGATAAACACACCATATACAGTTTGGATCCTCCTCCACTCTTAATGGCATAATTGGAAGACTGGTGATGATGCTCATCATCACTCCTCCTGTAAGTCTCACTATCATGTCATTCTTTCTTCTCCCCAGATTAAACATATCCAACTGCAATAATGATGGAGTGGTTACACAAGTAGCCTCTATTCCTCTTTAGTGCCTGTAACACTGATATGGCAGGGAGTATGGAGATAGAATTGTTTCAGAATCCATGAATCTTTGGTGTGGACATCAAGCATGTTTCTAGGATCCTTATTACTAGAACATAGACTTGGGACAGATAATCTCTAGGACTCCAAATGTCCATACTAAGGACTCAGCCATTCTAGAATATTATATCTCCTGGGGGTCTTGAAATTTAAGATTCTCTTTCAATTTTCAAGATGACCTAGACAACAGAGACCTTGCTATCATAGTAGCTTTGCTGAGTTTAGGCTTGCCTACTCTTTCTGTTTTCTTTCTAGACTCTCCATGGTTCATGGATGTTTCTAAACATTGAAGGAAACTTTCAGTGAATAAAGCAGAACTGATTTGAGTGATGTTGATCATTCTTAGAAAGAATCCTAGTGAACAGGAGTCACCAGAAATTTACCAACTTATCAGTAAGCTGCAAACTAATTCCTGGCCATGCCTGATTTAGTTCCTTGTCTATGAGTGCATGTAGTTTTAAAAACCTGTTGACTGAAGACAGACCACTGTGATTCCATCTGGCTAGGTCCCATGGGCATCAAATCCTTATCCACTCCTGCTACAGCCTAAGGAAAAGCAGAATGCTTTGCTCCTCCATTACTATAGCAGTGCAACCTATTATTGATTCCAGTATTTTAAAATTATGAGTGACTAGCTTAATGCGATCTTTGGATATATCACTCCCGCAATAAATAGATGGTAGCAGGGGACAGATAAATATAAGCTTGTCTGGTTAATCTGCATGCACATCAAACAAGGCCGCATCCTTTATCTGACAGACAATCCCTTTCCCCTTCTTTACACTTTTTTATAGCTGCCAGACTGCTGAAATCCCAGGAGGTTCTTACCTTGAGATTGGCACATGCTGGCAAGTCATTGTTAGTGGGTATTTCATTGTTGGTGTTCTCAGATCCCAGACTTTTAGATCTGTAAGCCGTAGTAGTTAAAGCAGTGGTAGTCTGGACAGGTACAAGCGGCTGCCACACGTTCACATCTGTACCATTGCCAAAGGCCTGAATTGCATTTTCTACAGAGAAAATTACAAAGCAAATGCATATATGAGAAAGCAGCAAAGACTACAACTGACCAAAAAGAAAGAAAGGAAAGGAAAAAGAAACCTCAAAGTGTATAGGAGGGAGGAGACTACCATTATAATTTTTAGCTCCTAGTAATCTCCAGCTATTTAAGTGCTATACTCTTTCTGGGGATTATTTCAGGGGTTCAACTAAAAATTTTAAGCTGCCTTTTAGACGTTGACTTGTAGGCACATCAAACATCTGGCACATCTGACATAAGGTATGGAAGTTTCAAAGAGGTTGCTTATTTGTTGTATGGGTGCTAGCAAGGTAGGACACTGGGTAGAAGTCCAGAAACTCGGCAGAATGAACAGTTGTACCCTCGAGTGCAGGTGGGCAGGGTTACCACCTTTTAAAGTGAAACCATACAGATTACGTGTAGGAACCAAAGCATGTTTAGAGGGGAAAAAGTCCTGTAGCCCCCAGGATTCCACAGCCAGCCCTGTGTATAAACACGTGCTGGACTGTACCACAAAGCTATTTCATCCAGTCTCAATAGTGATCCAACTGTTTTTGCTGATCTGTAGCCAATTGCAGATCCAACTATGGTCTAACAAGATTGGGTTAGGAGTAAGTTACAGTGAGCAACAGTATCATAAGATCACACCTTGAAGTATTCTATAAGTAACTGAGCTTGCCAGTCTGATATATGCTATCAATGTAGTAGATTTGATAAACCAAATGATAAGGAAATGTACTGATTTATTCTGATTTATAAGAATTGTATTTCATACAATTGTACTGTGTGTAAATAAACTTTCCTTCCAGTCTTCAAACAAAATCTGCATAATTGGGTGGGAGAAACAGGCTCATACTGGAAGTTGAAAATGTAGAAGTTGAAAGGCTTATCGCTAGTTTTTCATGGGATTAAATACTGTGTTTATTGCAAGAATAAATTGCTTGTTTTTTAAAAACACAAATGAATAGAAAAACAGTTTTTAATCAGGTCTTTGGGGACTCAGCATGGATTTAGGGATTTCTTATTTCAAACTCATTGTATAAAAATCAAACTACTGCACTGGAGACTTGTGCATGGTAGTTATTAATACATTTCTTCGGAAGCAACTAGCATGTACTATACATTATTTCACTTTTATTTATCTTGGAAAGACACACTTTATTCTAACATTCTTTAAATTCTAATAAATGTAGGAAATCATTCTTAGCCTTCAGAAATGAACAGATGATGTGAAGAAATCTGTATGGATTTTCATGTCTTACAGCACGTTACAGAAAACTAAAAAAAAAAAAAAAAAAACCAGGGAGCTGACAGCTAGTTACCCTGAATGAAATAGAATGATATCTCATTGTTCAAAACATCATCACACAAATTCTAGGGGATCAAGAATATTACATACAAATCACTCTGTGCATATTGAGAAAATTCGGTGATACATCCTCAAGACTGTACCTTTTCAGACTAAAAGGGGTGGCTGGAGGAAATGCAGGAGCCTCTAAAAGGTAGGAAAAAGGTTACCTGCACATGGACTTAATCAATGGGGTAAAAATGTCACATCGCCCAATCCACTGAGCTACTGAGGTAGTCCAGAAGTGCAGGTATTCAGAGCAAGGACCAGCACATCAACAGGATGCTGTGTTAAGAAGGGTGCTAGTTCCTTACCAATAACCCAAGTTCCTTGCAAACGTGTGAACATTAACAGCCAGATCTTAATGTGCCATGGTGTATATTTCAAATCATTTGTATTTTTACTGAAAATAAAGGTTTACAAAAGTCAATCCATTAACAAAAGGATACTGGAACATTTATCCTCCTTCAGTGAAATGCTATTAAAGCAGGGACAACTTTAATTTCTTCATGAAGAAAAGGTCTCACTGCCAGGGTGAGTATAATTTTTCCTCACCGTGTCCTCTAATGTCATTGCTTTATCTTCATTAACATTTTTATTTCGACAGCAAAAGAGAGGACAATGAAACCAGGGTGCTTTTTTAAAAACAGAGCATGAAATGATTCAGTAATGATCACATTTCCAAATGAGCATGTTAGTTAATTATTAAAACAATTAAGAATGTGTACATGCATCAACAGGTCAGAGCAAGTATGCTAGGTACTCAGAAGTCTTCATCATAGTCCCTTTTTAATATACAGAATTTCACCTGAATTTATGTGAAATGATCCCAAAGCATGTTTCTAATTTTACAACAGGTCTCCAAGAACCTACTGGCTTTTCACATTCAATTAAAACCCAAAATTCACAACTCAAAGCCATTTGTAATTTTCTAAACAATTTTTTTTCTTATCTGGAGATAATGCTGGATTTAAACATATTGGCAAATTATCATTTAGCTTTCTCTGTAAGGTTCTTGAACCTAAGTGCTCTCTGCACCCTACTCTTTTGGAGTTGCTATGAGGAGTTTAGAAGGCTTCACTTCCTTGTTCGGCTATCTATTAGTCACACGTGAAACTGGCACTATAGTTAGTCATAACTATGATTTATGGTAACTTCTTAGGGAATAAACCAGGATCAAAACCATGGTTTTAAGTTGGTTGGTTTTAGTAAACCATAATTAAGTTTAATCAACGATTGATTTGTGGGGTTCACTAATAACAGCAAAGGGTGGTTAGCTGAAAATGAAAATAGAGCTTCAGATCTCCTCTTTGCTGCATTTGAGGAAAAACTCATGTGGCTGTGCCTCAGTCATGCAATACTAAACTGTTTTCATAATATATTTGAAAATAGCCATCATTTCATATGTGAAGAGGCAAAAAGACAACTGATGCTGTAAATGCTTGTTTTACTTCCAGGTGCACACAAGCTATTCCAAAGCTCAAGCAAAGCTATATGAAAAAAGACTTAGTTTTACTGAGAGCCAGGTAACTGTTTCACCATGCACTTTGCGGCACTTAGAAGTTCTGTGGCAAACTCCTCCTTAATATTTGACAACTGGGCTACCCTTGGATGATTTCATCTGGAGCAGTTTGGCTATCCTTTTGTGATTTGTTTAAACCTCTCAATAAGCAAATCAATGTCTTCAGTGAGCTAAAATGAATAGCGCCCCCTAATAAAAATCTGGGACTTTCTCAACCCTACATAGGATATTATGATAGCAAACAGGTAGCTGCCCAAATAACTAAAAAAATTGCAATTTGCAGTTGCAGTATGCAAATGCCAATCAAGAGAGTTATGCTAGGAACACTGAGTGTGGGAAGTAACCCATGGGAATTACCCTTGCACATGTTACCACTGATGGAAACTGACTGTAAGAGATTCAAGTCATTTTGTTAGTTTGGTGTAGAAAGTGTCAGAATAGTTCACTCTCACAGGTAGAGTTCAGGGAATCAGCAGAGAGAGATAGCAATCCATGAATCGCTTGCTGAAGCAGGCTAATGAAGCTATGCTGCCGAAGAAATATCCCAGCACTGTTCACTGAGAAAGAACTTACCTCCTCATAATAACTATCCCGAAAAACAGGCTTTGAAGCTTGATTGTGTGAACGAACCCCACATCTGCAGTTGCAGCATCAAGTATTATTTTAACAACAATGCTTGAAAATAGTTCAGATAAAATAAATATCATACTCACTAAGGCATATATTATCCTGGAAGAAATTCAGAAATTTCAGACATTCTTCTAGGTCATTGCCGCTGTTGCTGCAATCACACCATGGAGCAACGCTGAGACTGTTATAGTTTAAATAATTTGGTGTCATAACTGTGCCTATTAACAAAAGCAAAAACACCATTCTGTATGGTTTTTTTTCAATATTCTACTATTATCTAGGAAACCCAATTATGAGTGAATTACATCTTGCATGTGAGGGAACCGGAGCTGAATTATAATGTAAACATCAGTAGATTTTGTGTCATGCTGAGGTCAGAGCTTTTTTGGGAGGGAGGGGAGTAATTATGACTTCATCATTTATGAGGAAGAGTATAAGGACAAACCTGGTCACTAATGCAGCGATGGCTGCCTGAATCTACAGGCAGGCCATTCTCCTTCTATTACCCAAATGTTAGTAATGTTTTAACTAAAGCACTGTAAATCAAAAAGAGCATCACTTATTCTGAAGCAATAAGTGTTATAACTTTCATTTAGTCCATGAGCCTGAGGAAGAACCAAAATGTTTTCATAATCTGAAGTAGGAATGATAATGCCACAGACAGCGCCAAGCGAATTTGGAGGATAATGAGTATTTTTACATGGCTGAAATCTGCCTATGGCTGGTCCAATAAAGGAAATATGATTTACTCTAAGAATTCCATAAATTTAAACATTTAAAGCAAGGCAGTGATTGCTAATTAGACTACTTATTCTGCTAGAGGGAGAGAGAGAGAGAGCAGAAAGAAGAGAAAGAAAGCCAGAACAAATTCTACTTTTACCTTTTAAATCACTGGTCAAGAGCTTGTTTTGGTCATGTGGGAGTACTTTAAACAAAAGAGGTTCAAACTTTCTCAAAAGTGTGACTAACAAGAAGAGAGTTTTGCTTTCTCTGTGTATACCTGTCTCCCTTTCCTGTGTGTGTATGTGTGTATCCATCTAGTGTTGTTTTATATGTCCCCAAGATTGTGAAACGTAAACAACCAAAATTTGTTCATATTAAGAATTCCACTTCAGGATTGAATTGTTCTTAAAACATTAATTAGTTTTAATTCATCTAAATGTGTCCATATGATTGAAGCAGGCAATAACATTTTATTGGCTACTGGCCAAATTCCCTAAATAATGATTATTTCACAACTGATAGTGCCTGAAGCCAGGAGAGTTAGCAGGCTAAGCATCAAAGCTAAATGCCTGCCTCTTCTCCCCTGCCGATGGACAGAGTCCCATTGGAGAAATGGAGAGGACGGACTCTTCCTTTGGGAGCTATAGGGTTGCACCATGGCCTGGGCTGAACCTGGGGCTGCCAGCAGCCATACCTACGCCAGGTAGTGTCAGTACAGTGTATTGAGTTCTGTTTTCTTGAAGGCTTTGCTGTATCAAACAAAGGACTACTCTGAACTGTGTGGAGCCAAGTCCTTTCGTTAGTCTGGAGCAGAGGTGTTGGGGGGAGCATCATAGTAAAGAGTTGTTTTGAGTACTAGACAGCTTCAGGGTTAAAGGGGAAAAAAAGACTATGTTGTGGATTAAGAGACGATGCTGCCCTATTGCTATGCACATCCCTGTTAGCAATACACATCCTTTCTATCACTGGAACCTGACAAAAATTGAACAGATTAACCATGACCACTTCACATATGATATGGGAAGCAAGGCAACATAACTCTTCATGGTTGCTACAGAGCAAAAAATCGGTTATATACAATCAGCATAATATGCAAATATTTTCATTTTTCTATCAAAGTCTATTGAAGTAGATGGAAAAATAGAATCTACTTTCAAATTTTGGGTAACAAATCTAGTTATGATACCTTCTTAATGTTTGCAGAAGCATGCCAAATCTTCAGTAACAGAGTTTTGGATTAGTGGAATGAAGGTGGGGGAATGTATTCCAATGGGCAAATATTACAAGAATTATTAATCCAAGCTTGATGAAAGATAAATAGCAGGAATAAATTGAAGGATATGTTATGATGGACTATTGAGTTGACCCATGTGCCACATGCATGGTGCAATCAGCTATAAAATAAAAGCCAACTGTCTGTGGAAGCTGCTAAATTCAAATAAATGCAAATAAACTGGCTAAACATTTGGGGATATCAGTGCAATATTTAAATAATGGAGTAGGAATAATAATGAATTTTCATTATGAAAAAATCAAGAATTTGAAGGTGACATGAAAGGATAATATTAGGTCTATGAAAAGATACAAGAGCGGCAATTGGAAAGCCTTCTAAAAGCAAAATATTAAACCAAGTGGAGAGTGAGTATCTACTAAATGAAGTCTGTTCGTACTAGTATTCCATGGGCTCTGCAGAGCAAGTAGGGGGAGCTAGTGCTAGATTATTTGAGCCCTTAATGTGGTTGGCTATATTGATTTTCATGCTAGACTTCATAGTACAGGCCAAGCTGGATATGTACATGGAGCAAGCACTGCAGGCATGAAATGTAATTTGTCAGAGAGCTTGCTCAGCCCACATCGGGGAGATTGGCCCTGGTGTATCAAACTGATGGCTGGGCATGTGATGGATTATTCCGATGACCCATTCGCAGCACAAACTCTGATATGTAATCAAGTGTCCGCCCACACATAGAACAATCAGTCAGAATTTGACTAAACGTGTGGCAGTCTATTATAGGATAGACTGGAGGCAGAAAGCAAAGCGTACAGGGTGCAAGTAACACAGGATTCCTGTTTCCTTCTCCACCAGTATTGATTCATGCAAGGCAATACACAGATAAAATACCTGCAGTTACAGAAAATCATCCTCTGCCACTCTGATTTGAGAAAGATGTATGAGCTCACAACAGAAAAGAAAAATTCTGCCCTATGTAGGGCACTGTGCAAAGTTGAAAAAAGCATTTCTCATTCTACATTAGATATAATGACACCTTAAGTTTTTTTCAGGTAATTGTAGGTGTGATATAGATCCACTAAAATGAGTGGAAATTTTGCCATTGCCTTCTAGATGGTCATCTGGAAGAGTTGCTTAACAGGGATAGTAGATTGTACGTTATACCTGTTACATGCTTTTGGTTTGGGGGGCGGGTGGGATGGGGGGAGATAGAGGGGCTGTTGCAGAGGAGGAAGAGGTTTGTAAGGCTGTAAGGCATAGCAATGGGAAAGTGAACTCAGCACAGAGGTTTGAAAAAGCATTTCTGGAAATACCAAACAGAACAGGGAATAAATCAACCAGGGTTTGAAATACTAAAAGGCAAACATGGAAATACTACTAAGCTATGGCTAGGATCACAAAGGACAGCAAAGACTAGATGGAGCAATTGCTTTTTCAGTGCTCTCAATATATGTATGATAAACTGAAAGACAGCAAAATCCAGAACACAATTCTGGAATATAAAACTGGGTCAAGGGATGCAGAAGCAAAACCAAGCAGCCTAGTTGATTTTCCCCTGGCAGCCTTTGCTTTAGTCTTCAGTCTTCTGGATGACATATTGGATTCCTCTTCTCCAACCTTCTCACACAAATGGATGGATATAAGATTTTAGAGCTGTAATTACTAAATGCAGCTTAGGGTGACTGTAAAGCCAGAACAAAAAGAAGAGGAAATTATTAACATACTCAGGGGAGGTCTAGAAGTGCATATTGGTGGGGGGGGGGGGCTAAAGACACCCCAACCCAAAACAGCCTGTTGAAAACTAAACATGATCAGTGCTCACAGACTGATGCGTGCCAGTTGAAGCGAACCGGAATGGGATACCAGAGGGGATAGGTTGGGAAAAAGTCTCCTGGAAGCCTCACTAGAAAAAATGAATGCCAACACTTCGCACTGCAACCCTGAGATGCAGTTTCCACTTTCCTTTTCTATCACATGGTTGCATTGTCTGGTTGCATTACTGCAAATGAGAAATGACTGAAACGCATAATCTGGAAACAAACCACTATTTTTTATTAGTAATCAGTGCAAGCTATGATTAAGCCATCTGGCTCTTGCTAATAGGTACAATTTGAATACAGCGTTTGTTCCCTGTGCTTTAAGGAATATCCATGACTGCTTTGATATGGAAAACTTTTCCTGAAGAGATTCTTGCCCATCATTTCTATGGCACAAGGTATTCTCCTGTTGCTTTCCCACTTGATAAATGTCTAAAGTTACTATGTGCTCAGGATCCCAAGGAAATCAATCACTCAGGACGTGGTGAAAAGCAATTTGTGTAGATAGTAAGAGGTAAATGAGAAGTTGTCATGACCCAGTCTTCAGACTGACTATATACGTTATGAGTTCAATATAGCTCCCACATGGAGACAACTGGAAAACATTTCCACATGCTCAACATATTTGAACCCTGGCTGTTATCCATTTGTGACTGGGCTTTGCTCTTTGGACAGCCTGACAATGATCAGGAGTTTGGCCTTTTCTATAGTGGGCCTGCCATTTTGGAACTCTTCCTAGGGGCATATATATGATCACTCTCTGTATTTTTCTTTGAGGGAGTAAGAATCCTAAACAGTTTGTATTTGGTCAGGTTTGGGATGATTTTAGGGATCATTCCGGAACAATTTTAGCTGCTGTTGTTTTATATTTCATATAGTTTTTATTGGTAATCTCTGTTTTATATATATTTCTATTTCATATGATCCTATAGATTTGTATTGTATTTATTTTGCTTTCATCTAATATGCCACCTTGAGAATACAGCCCAAAATAAATAAAAACATGTGTGCATGCATGGGGTATGTGTGTGTTTGTGTTTGAATTAGTATTGGTTATTGTAAATGTAAGGGTAGATGTCAAAAGGACAAAGTATGACAAGTAATAAAATCTATTTTTTTACAATATGAAAATCCATTTCTGGGGAGGCAAAAGCAGAATCCTGACAGGTAGCCCTGCAGACACAGAAAGTATATGTGCCTTTATAGTGATAAATTTATGTTAGCTTTACACTACTCTGATGGTATTCTGAAAAATGAAAGCTTGATTTTGGAAGACTGAGAAATTTTCAGAGTAAATGCAGTAAGCAAGGCATGAACTCTTGTTACACTAGTCAGTTTCCAACCTCTTGTCTGTGTCTTGGGGCTGCTAGCAAGGAAGAAGAATGTGTATTTTCCCTCCAAAGCCAGATCTCCACTTGATTTTGCTTCCTGAGGGACCCATTCCCTTGATCTCAATGCCAGAGAGTGTTTTTGCTGTCTTCCTTCTAGCATTTCTGCAGTAACTTTGCCCATGGAAACATAAAAGTACCTCTCTGCAGGAACTGGGTTGTCCTTAAGGTTAAATTGCATAATGGTTCCAATAAAATCCTCAGAAAAAGTCACTGTGTCTGGGAACTACTTGCCAGCAGCTGTTATTCTGAGTTATCCATTAGTACCAAAGTTATTTCTTGCCAGCAGCTAGCATCCATACATCACTTGATCGGATCTGAAGTCTAAGATACTCAGTTCTTTGTCCAAGAGTCAACTTCTTTTATCTGGAGCTAGTTAAGTCATCCTTTTGCATTTGTGTCTATAACTGTAAAGCTTTCATATTTTTCCAGGGATGGTGCCTATTTACCATTTCTGTGTGACTGGGACTATACGGAAAAGTGTTGCTATTTTGGCTCAATAGAGGGTGGGAGGGGCGAACAGTGGTGTGGAGGCATTCGTTTGATCAGAATTGGTTGGTGAACAAATATACAAGCCTCTGAGCATCACAAAACCACTTGTATCAGAAGGCTATAAAAATGCTCTTATTAACTTGTACCTAGCCACATACATATGTTCTTCAATCATCACAGTTTCTGGATGCCATGTGCACTGAATCTTTGAAAAACAATAATAAAGCTGCTCTATGAATAAATCTTACTATATCTACTTTCTGAACATTTGTTCTTATTTCTCTTGAGCAGCATTGTATTGGGAAAGATTTGTTGAACTGCCACGGGAGTCTGAACAGTTTTCACACTTTACCAGAAACAATCAGGAATGTTTAATGACAAGTGCAGAGTTGCAACTTGAAGCAAATTGAATACCTAGCCTTCATGCTACTTATTTCTCAGGTTTCACTCTTACACAATCACACTTACTCCGGCATCTGACTGCTATATGCCAAACAGTCACTTCCTTAAGATTACCTCCTCTGACCAGAATGCCAGTTCAGGCCAGGGACTTGCTCTGATGTGGTCTACCATATTTGACAGCCTTCAAACTGGAGTGGCAATGATAAAACCAAATGTTAAGAAGCAGCTTCAAATCCATGGTTTTCCCTTTGCTAGTAATGATGGGAATCTCAAAAATGGTTTAATAAGTACAACAGGGGATCATTTACAAAGACTGCTTGGAAACAAATTATACATTGAATGGATTACTCTTGGTTTCATTCCTCAAGGAAACTGTATCCTTTCCCAGGTAACAAGAAGCAATTCTCATACCGAAGTGCAACTTTGTCCAACAAACTAGAGGGCAATCTGGGTAAGCATAAACACTACTTGCATGCATTTATGATTAATTTGTCTACCTAAATATTGGAAATATCTATGGAGCAGGAATTAAAAGTTCAGTGTGGACCAGCCTTAGGGCCATCTGTACCACCCATCTGCACCCTTGTTTACTAGCCTTCAGAGGATTCCTGATCATAGGGAAGGACGTGACTGCATTCAGCTGAACATGGTTATGGTTCCCTTAAAACCCTCCAGCTCAGTCCTGGAAAGCTAAAGGGTGCAGTTAGTATGCATGGCCTTCAATGCCTGAATGGGCTAAAGTGAACATATGGAAGGCCAGAGCATGTTAACAGCTGCAATGTTGACAAAAGTGAGTTCTTATGGCTTAACTAGCCAGGCCACCTATGCTTCCCGCACTATCATGACTTCATTATGTTTCCACACCCACCAGTCACCACCAGGAAGGTGGATTGGAGGGATGGGAGCTCACAGGAAAATGAGGACAAGTCCCGTGGGTAGAACTTTCAGTTTTGGGGAGGTCCTCTTTACAGGTATCCAAAGGCAACCATAAAATGTGAGGTGGAGCTGAAATAAGGCAGAGGATGGCAGGGTTCCATTGTATGATGAAAATCAGCTACAGGAGAACAAATTTAACTATAGGTAATGATGCTCCTAAATTCAACAGGCAACTGATCCAGTTTTGGAAGCATGTACAAATGTGGACAAACCTATTCTAGAGTAATAAATAAAAGCACAGAACTGCTGGACAGATCTAAGGAAAAGTCTGTTTCAGGCCTCATTGTTTTCAGTGAAGTTTATTCCAAGGTACACTTGTAAAAGAATTCAGCCTTAAGAGTGTGTAATGAGTGGCTTCTTTCATTCAAAATGTTTTCCCCTACTTAGCAGGCTTTCTGTCCTTTTGTCAGTCTGCTTTTGTTTCTACATGCCATCTTTATGCTTAGAATTACAGCTTTGGGAACCCAATTAAATTTAACTCAAAAGAAAACAGAAAATAACTCTTAGAGCTGAACTACACACTGAAGTTTGGCCCTTGAGTCTTTTATTTTGATTTTCAATAAAATCTTCAAGAAGCCTGGGTTTGTTTTGCTTTTCCTTCTACTCTGTTGCTTCTTTTTTTCAAACTGCACACCAAACAAAGCCTCATTTCCCACCCACAAAAGAAAAAATCAACAACCCAGAAAAAATATCTTACCAATAAGCCCCGAATAAGCAAGGAGGCAGTCAGCATAGTTTTCTTTCAGACAGCTACTAATAGACTGTGTCTCTGGCTGGCAGTTTGCGATAAAATCTGCAAGGCGAGATCTGTAATGTGGTAAGAAGAAGAAGAAATATATATCTTTTTAAAAAATCATACCTCCAGGCACTCTTACCTTTTGCACTCTTCTCTCCCTTTTGTCAGTATTTAATTCTCCTATAGATACATATACTATATGCATTAAAACTGTTAAGTGTGCTTTTTAATGTAGACAACAACATATCATTTATCTCAATGCTGCATTACCAGAAAGTGTACAGGTATAACTAGGAACCACTCCTCCTTCACCAGCTGACCAAAGACCCTTCTGTGGAAAACACGCATTTTTAAATCTAAGCTGCTCCTGCTAAAATGGGCAATGGGTGAATTTATCAGCTTGGTGAGGTTTTCTTCTTCTTCTTCTTTTAATCAGTTGAAATCAATAAGAAGGCCATCTAAGCAAGTGGGCTAGCTGATCATGTAAGAAAGGTGTGGAACAGCATTCTTGTTTGTACTATAGGAATCACTCATAAGATGTCACATTAAAAGCTTGCTGCAGCTGAAGCCTCCCCACAGCTGAATCACCTATAACTTCTTAAGTAAATAAGAAAAGAGCTGGCATGCCACAAGTGGCACTGTGACAATGTGTAAGGATAGTTTGCCTGCCGGGAAAGGTGGCTCCTCAAGGGGTCAACTGTGACTCAGAAATATGCGATGTGTCCCTGGATGGACCATCATGCAGAACTTTCCAGAGCTAAATTGAGCTTTAAGTGGCAGCACCACCAACGTGTGGGGTGAGGCTTCCACTTGCCTCTCCGTTCTAAGTCTACCCTAGAGAAGACCACTCAAAGGACCTGATACAGATGAGCAAAGTGACTCATTCTTAGTGCTCTCTGTGACTCATACATATGGGAGGTGGAAAAGGAAAAAACTTAATGGAGGAGAGAGATGTCATGGCAAAATTGAGATTTGATATTGCAGCTGGATTACGAACATGGGCCAGAAGGTCTGAACATGTAACACCAATTCTGGCCTGCTTGCATTGGATGCCCATATGAATCTCCCCACATGGCCTGAAGTGTGTGATCCTGTCTAATCTTAGAAGCTAAGCAGCATCAGGCCTGGTTGGAATCTGGATGGGTGACTTAGAATGATGTGAACCGCCCAGAGAGCTTCAGCTATGGGCAGTATAGAAATGTAACATGAATAAAAAAAAATCTGTTTGTAACCTCTAAGTTGGAAAGTTTTGGACTTAGAATTCCCTATGGAATTCCACTCCCAGCTTCAAACTACATGGATGCTACAATCTAGATCTGGGTCCTATTGCAGATTGTCAGCTCCAAGGGAGGCTTAGTTTGTGGCAATAAGGAGATAAGCTTTTTCAGCTGTGGCCCCCTAGTTATAAAACAAGCTCCAAACATATGTATTGGTGCCAGGTTAAGACTGTTTCTATGTCAGGGCATTTAATTAGTTTTATATTGTTTTGGGGCATTATGTCAAATGCTTAAAAGGACTTGTGATTTGATTGTGCTTTTAAATTTGGCTTTTAAATTTTGCATAGTATCTTTATGATGCTTTGTTTTTTGTATTTGATAAGCTATTTTATTGTATTTTTCTGCCATTTTAAACAATAGAGAACTTTGACTATTAGAAAGTATCAAAATATTAATACTCATGCTGATGATAACTGTGATCGATAAAGATAGGCTTTTGTGCAAGAGAAAAACTTCTGAGGAAAGTGGCATAAGATGTTATGGCTCTAGTCAACAGACCTTGGACTTGTACAGGGCTGGGAAACATGTCAGTTGATAGGCAAGAAATATGGCTGAAACTACCCACTTGGTGAAGAGTTACGGTGACACTGGCTTGACTTTTGGTACTGCAGGGTCAGTTTTGGTTTCTCAGTCCAAAAGATTAGCCAAAGCTGTGGGTATGGCAGGGGCTGGTACTCCCGATACTGGGAGCAGTGACACCAAAGTGCTTTTCATAGTATACACTGCATTAAGAGAAGAGTGAGTTGGAGCTGGATTCTTGCAATGACAAGCTGAGGCAGTAGGTAGAGGCCAGAGCAATACAACTGCAACCGTTGCCTTGCCAGCCTGTGTTGAAAGCAAGAACTTGAAGCAAGCCACTCTGCTTCGCCTGGCAGTTCACCCTATGAGCCTCTCCAAGGCATGGAATGCAGTTGGAGGGTGCTTTGGTTAACTGGCTCTTCCATCCACAACAGCTGCAGTTTTAAAGAAGGCTTTGCAGACCATTTGCTCCCAAAGAGCAAAGAAGTAAGGGAGAAGAGACTTAGAAAAAATAGCAAGGAAAAAAGCAAATAGAAAAGGAAGGGGAACTTTTTTCAGTATCACAGGATGAAGCAGTAGCTTTTCTTTTTCTTTTTTTCTTTTGATAAATTTGAGGATTTTGCAATAATATGGCTTGCAATTCAAATGCTTCCATTTGCTGTGGAAAAAGAAAAGAAACTGAAAGGAAAGTGGGAGTCCAACTGGCACATGCATGGCATGGAGGTCACTCACCTAAAACTCTGCTTAGCTCTAGAGAGAAACACAGAAACATAGAAACAGAGCATGTCAGAAGGGGTCTCCCAGGCCATCTAGTCTGGTCCCCAGCTCCAGCCAGCTCCACTCATGACATGCCTACCATGTGCATGTCAGACTATCCTTGAACACCCTCACTGATGGGACTTCAACCACTTCCTGTGGAAGCCCATTCCATACCCTAGGGGCCCTATGACTATGATGACTATGACTAAATGACTATTCTGTGCAGGAACATACCCCATATATGTGAATCAAAATAAAGAAAAGTCCATGCTTATGCACAGGTAGCATCCAACCACACCGAATACCAAGTCTGACACCCCAATCCTGAAAATGTGATCAAATGCACTTTAAAGCAACTCCCACTGAATCCTTTGGGATACTGAAGGTAGTGCTTTACCAATATTATTTGCTTCATTAGTGTGTGTGAATGAGTGTATATCTGTCTGTATATTATCCATTTTGAATAGCCTCAAATTGGCTAACAGAAAAATCATTAAAACAAAAACAGCAGCAATGCATAACAGAAATAATCTGGGCTTCATAATAAGAAGATACACAGCAATAACGAATTAATCAATAAATGCCAAGGGAAAACAAACCTAACTGTCGCAGGAAGAAAGCAGCAACATTTAAATAACAATCTAGCAAGTTATTAAGGCATTTTTTAAAAAAGAGTCCAGGTTCTTGTAATGCGTGTAACAGTACAGAGTGTCAGTGGCATCCCTGAGGCATTGCCTGAAGCCAGTGCCACCAATGATAAGGTCCCGCTTTTGGGGGATTGTGGTACATCTCAGCTGGCGAAAGAGATAGAACAGGGATATGCACAGAATTGGGATTGAGATTCTGACTCTGGAGCAAAATCCAATGACTTAAAATTGTAACTGATTGATTATTTGTATTTTTAATCTTCCCAACAACAATATTCTTTGGGAATATTAAAAATAGTTAAAAAACTAAAATGCCATAGAAATACATAAAGATTGAAAATACAATGTGAATATTTGAAAGAACAACAAAATGAACTCAAATGGATGAATGTAACTTAGAATTAGGTTTCTAATATGCCTGAGTTATAAGAAACTTTGGATAGCAATGTAGGTACCAGGCAAACTTCTTTAGGGAGATCACTCCATAAGTAGGGTATCCTAACTGAGAAGACCCTCTCTCCTGCAGCTAGTCACCTGGCTTGCTTTGGAGGTGGCACCCAGAGGTGGACCTCCAGAGATACACTTTAAGAAGAATTGATTCTCCCTTTCCCATGCAGTTTCCTGAATTCCCTCAAAACTTGTTCCCAGAGAACTAGAAGCTCCTTCAAAATGGATTTTGAGGGGGAGCTTGGAAGCTGGAGAAGAAAGGAGAGGAGGGAAATTCTAATATACAGGTAGAAGTCTAGACTTTAAAACCCTAAACAGCTTGGGACCAGAGCATCTAAAGTAATGCATCCTTCCATATATATCTGCTTGAACTCTTTCATTGTTTCACCCATTCAAGGGTGGGAAGATAGACCTAAAAATGTGTTGAAATCTCAAGTAAAGACAGGACCTAAATTAAATTCTGATCCTTATACCCACTTACCTAAAAGAAACCCACAGTGAAATCAGTGAGAGTAACTTTTCAATAGATATCAATGTGTTTGCACTGTAACATTTCCAATGATGAGAGAGATGGAGTCCCTTAAATTTTCATAGCTCCTTCCCTTTCCCATGGCTAGTACAAACATAATTATACAAAGTAAGCAATGATAGGCACATATGTTCAGTTTGTATAATATACACAGGATAACAAATGCAATTTTCTTGGCAGAGAATGCAGTTCACCTCAGCACAGAACTTAGTTTTCTTGTTTGTGCAGAGTTTATATAGCTGTACCTACGTCTCATCTTATGACAGTTTACATTCTCAGGATAAAGCTATTAATGCAAAAACAGCTGACAATATAATAACACTATTAATACTGATGCTATTTCTTTACCACTCAATAGCTGAAGCTTTCTGGGTGGTTCATAACAATTTATTATATAAATAAACTGAAGAAGAGTCCTATACTAAGGACTACAAGGAAATAGTCTCTCTCTCTCTCTCTCTCTCTCTCTCTCACACACACACACACACACACACACACACATGCTCCATGTGCATTTCAGAGACAGACTGTATACAAAAGTTAGACTCTGGAAGCCAAACTTTTGTTTGAAGCTATCTCAGTTAATGATACATGACAGTTGTTTTGATTTAACTTCTACAGCTGGACAGTGCACAATAGTAGAGTCCATATTTTGCCTGAAGATGCTTCCAGGATCCATCAAGGGCATCTTCATAATCCTGCCTGAGTCTCGGGAGAACTGCTGCCAGAAAGTGCAGGTAATACTGGGCCAGAGGGACCACCAGTTCTACTCAGTAGAGGGACCTCCCTTTGTCCCTAGTTGAAGACACAAAGGCTACTTTACATAATATCAAATAAAACAAATAAAAGCAACCCTAATGTGTGTGTGTTTAGAGTACTGAGGAAAGAACTCT